CTCTCTCGGCTGGGCCGCGGTCCTGCGTTCCGGCAAGGCCGCAACCCAGCCAAGGGCTCTCCTCGCGCGAAATCCCTCTCGGCTGCACCGCGGAGTTAGTCATGGGAGTTCTGTGTGCCAAAGTTTGTTCCAATCCATCGTTGGTGGAGTTCAGAATGCTCTTTGATTTTAGCTGAATTATAAATCTCAGCAACTACAACTCTCAAATATCAAGGTCTATTTTCCCCAAACTCCACCACATTTGGGTATATTGAGTATTTGTGCTAAGTTGGGTCCAGATCTATCATTTTTGAGTCCACAGTGCTCTCTGGATGTAGGTGAACTACAACTCCAAAACTCAAGGTCAATGCCCACCAAACCCTTCCAGTATTTTCTGTTGGTCATGGGAGTTCTGTGTGCCAAGTTTGGTTCAATTCCATCGTTGGTGGAGTTCGGAATGCTCTTTGATTGTAGGTGAATTATAAATCCCAGCAACTACAACTCCCAAATGACAAAATAAATCCTCCCCAACCCCACCAGTATTCAAGTTTGGGCGTATTGAGTATTTGTGCCAAATTTGGTCCAGAATGAAAATACATCCTGCATATCAGATATTATTGACATTACAATTCATAACAGTAGCAAAATTAGAGTTAGGAAGTAGCAACTAAAATAATTTTATGGTTGGGGGTCACCACAACATGAGGAACTGGATTAAGGGGTCACGGCATTAGGAAGGTTGAGAACCACTGCTCTAGAACATGGCCATATAGCCCAAAAAAACCTACAACAACCCAGTGATTCCGACCATGAAAACCTTTGACAATACATTGATTATTTCTGCATTTGATTTATTAAAATATTCCCATCCAAACCCAAGTAACGAAGGTGGAGGCATTACTTTTCATTCAACCCTTGTAGCTTCTCTTCCAACTAACATATCTAAATGTCCTTAATATGGTTGCTATTAGCAACATTAGTTGACAGCTTTAGTCCACTAATACTTTCACATATAGTGATATCACAACTTGTGCAAGTGTTCTTGTTTATGACATCATCCTGTGACATCTTCAGTGACCCATGCCAGTTTGCTGTTGCTATGCCTTATCCAAAGCATCTTGTGTGCTCTACGTAAGTCTTAGGCCGGTGCTCTAAATCAGCTTAAATCCAACCCTTCTGTCTTAGCTGCTTTAGGGGTCAGTTTGATTCTCCAGTTAAATACATTATCCTCAGTGAGACATCATTACAACTCTTCATCAAATGGACAGAAAGAAAGGCTGACTAAATTTAATAGCCATTCAGGGTGAAGGAATAAATTGGTAAAATGACAAAGCTGACTCTTATAAAGGGATTCCATTCAAGGATTTTGAAAGATAGAGACGAAGAAAGAACCTTACATTTGTATTATGCAAAAGGCCTGGAAGAGCAAGCACTTGTGAGATCAAACTTGGCAAAATTCAGCCCTACCTTGATGTCATTTTTAAAATATCTCCCCATCCCAATCCCGTAGCTTTCAAGCATTCGCTGACACTAGATTAAATTTCAGGGTAAATTAAAATATTTTTTCTGATTTTATCTGACAGTCTAAAAATAATATTCCACAGTAACCAACGTACAATTTATTATCGCTGGACAGTAACTGTGTGAGGCACACAGAATACATTAATACCATCCTACCGGAAATTTTAGGTTATTAGATATGTTGAATATGATGTCTGTTAGGCAGAAGAGGTGTTGTAAAAAACCCCAGATAGATTTGATTCTATGAGAAAGACTATCAGCCTTTTATAGCAAAGGAAAAGGTAATTGACCTTTACTGTATTTATTTATTTACTATATTTGTATACTGCCCTTCTCAGGTGACTCAGGATGGTTTGATTTTTAAAAAAATTTATTTAGGCGATCCCTCGTTGGCTGAGTAGGATAGTCCTCCAGGATCAGTATTCTGGTGGGTCCATAGGTGACTGTGGAGCCCTATTCTTGATCTGCATCTTTTCCCACAATGAGGGAATTGGATTCAAGGTGGAAGGCAGTCTCAGTTGGGGTTGGCTTGATGTGCCTTCCTCTTGGCACGTTTCTCTCTTTCACTCTCCATTCGTGCCTCTTCAAATTCTGCAGCACTGCTGGTCACAGCTGACCTCCAACTGGAGTGCTCAAGGGCCAGGGCTTCCCAGTTCTCAGTATCTATGCCAGAGTTTTTAAGGTTGGCTTTGAGCCCGTATTTAAATCTCTTTTCCTGTCCACCAACATTCCATTCTTGAGTTTCAAGTAGAGCAACTGGTTTGGGAGACGGTGGTCGGGCATCCGGACAACGTGACCGGTCCAGCAGAGTTAATGGCGGAGGACCATCGCTTCAATGCTGATGGTCTTTGCTTCTTCCAGCACGCTGACGTTTGTCCACTAGTCTTTCCAAGAGATTTGCAGGATTTTCCGGGGGCAGCGCTGATGAAATCGTTCCAGGATTTGCATGTGACGTCTGTAGACAGTCCACGTTTCGCAGGCATATAGCAAGGTTGGGAGGACAATAGCTTTATAAACAAGCACCTTGGTATCCCAATGGATGTCCCGGTCCTCAAACACTCTCTGCTTCATTTGGAAAAATGCTGCACTCGCATAGCTCAGGTGTTGTATTTCGGTGTCAATGTTGACTAACTAACCATCAAATCAAATGTGTGCATCTCCTTTCTGGAAGTATTTTTCATGTTTATATTCATATCCCATAGATTAGAGGTCTTCAGGGCACAGTTGCACTAGTATCTGTGCGCATGCATGACAGCAGCTATCAGTACAACTGTACTGTGATATTCATCTGAATGCCACTCAACTGGCTGAATGCATAATTCATCGTAAGTGACCATCTTGCAAGTATCAATGCCCATCTTTGTCCCTGGTTTCTGGTCCAGGTTTGTTCAGAGGGAATGAGCCAGAGAACAGATAGTAGCCATTGCTACACAACATGACAAGCCAACCATGGAGAAGAGCTCTATAGTTTATTTAGCTTCGTGCACTGCAAATGGAAACACCAGTATGCTGCTCATTCATGACAAGCCAGGGTTCCCACTACTCAAAGTTAGTCACCTACCTAAATGAGAATCTGAAGCAGTATGGCTTGAGGAACGTGTCTCAGTTTCTCTTACTCTTTTCCTGTGTAAATTAAGGCTATTTTTGAGCTTGCTTCTGGCTCAAAGTTAGCCGTAATTTACATGGGTAAGTATTAAAACTTAGCCAATTCCAGTTTATATTAGGACACCACATAGGCAATGGAGATAACCCTAACCCTCACAACCTCTAGGGATGCTTGCCATAGATGCAGGTGAAATGTCAGGAGAGAATGCTTCTAGAATATGGCCATATAGCCTGAAAAAACTACAACAATCCGGAGATAAGTTTGTAAGAAACTGAGGAAACATGTAACATTCATTGTAACATGTTCCCTTTCCATACAGGAAATTGCAATGAGCAACAGGAACAGAGAAAGGCTCAGAACTGAATATCCTGAATACTAAGAGGGTAGCATCCGAGTGCAGGAAGAGCTCATAATTTGCATTTTAAAAGGACTATATGAAGCCTGTATTGCAACGTAAGGTGTAACCTCAGCAAACATTTTAAATCTATGCTATTTATGGATGGTTACAAAGGGATCGTATATTACCCTTGAGACTAAAAGGGAGGAAAGAAGTTTTGTAGTCTGCTTTGTTAAATGTGGAAGAATGTTAAATGTTTTGTAGTCTGCTTTGTTAAATGTGGAAAAAACATGGTAATTCAAATATGGGAAAGCTTTCCTCTTTATTTTGTCTTTACTGCAATGACATCTGCTGGTAAACTGCAGAAAATACAATGTTTGTCAATTTCTTATGAAAATACTTGTGATTAGCGGGAGGTTCAGTAAATCCGATATTTCAAAATTTATTATTCTGTGCTACTAATGCAAGTCTTAGAATGCTATGCAACCCCACCCCGGTTTATTTATCGTTTCAGAAGCAAATTGAGGGTACAGTTGTAACATATTTAAAATCACAAACAAAGTTAAACTTGGCATTATACTAAATGTGCTTTGACCAGAAGCTGGCCACTTGGAATGTCTCTGGTGTTGCTGTGAGAAGGTCCTCCATTGTGCTTGTGGCAGGGCTCAGAGTGCAATGTAGTAGGTAGTCTATGGTTTGCTCTTCACCACACTCACATGACATGGACTCCTTTGTGGCCCCATTTCTTAAGGTTAGCTCTGCATTTCATGGTGCCAGAGTGCAGCCTGTTCAGTGTCTTCCAGATCGCCCTGTCTTCTGTGTGCCCAGCAAGGAGTTTCATCAGCCACTGATTGAGGTTCCAGGTTTTCACCTGCCACTTTTGGACTCTTGCTTGCTGAGGTGTTCCTGCAAGTATCTCTGAATCACCCCACCCCGGTGAAGGCTACGAGTAATTGAGGAGAGGGATGTTAAGATTATCCCAAGTGATACCTGTTCAAATATCTAGCAATTGCACTGGAATTTCCTGCTCTTTCAAAATACATATGCATACATTTGTTTTGTTTCTTACAGTAGAAACATTTTTGTCCTTAGACAAAAAAACCCCCAAACAAAACATAAGAGAAATGTATATAACTGCATGAACCCTAACAAGGTGATATGCCATATGCCAAAAATGAGGGAGTGCCGTGGAAGTAAAAGTAGCAAATATTTATTTTCCAAACATCTTTTGAACTCCACATAATAGCTTGGATGATAATTGGGTCATGTGTAGAATAGACCTCACTGAAATCAGAAAAAGTGATACAAAAACTAGTCGTGCAAGAATTGTCAGTGTTTTGAGGATGTAGACTTTCATGGTGTGTTACATCTAAAAAAAACCCTGGTATCAGAAGCAGATATCTCCCTTCTTTGAAAGAATAAAGAGTTCATCTTCATTATATAAAATCTTGTTTCAGGAAAAATCATCCCATAAAAACAGAAGACCGCATATTTTTGCCTCTTTTCTAAAAAACTTCATTATGGCAATTTACATAAGTTAAAAGAAACAAAGAGAGATGCATTTACAAGATTTATTCATTTTTTACATCTGGAGAAACACACTGATTTTCTTTTTACAAACTGGTCTCTTTACACATTCGAGCAGGAATATTATAATGTCTGTCATCTTCAGTTATAAGAGTTACTATTGGCCAACCTTCTTCTGGCTCATTGGGGTAAAAGGTGATGAATTCATCTGTACTGTATTTATACAGACGATACACCTGGATGGTATGCTGCAAAGCGTAGGCCAGGAGAAACATCTCCACCTAGCAGGAAAAAAAACACGACAGTTTGTAATGCATTATTTAAAATAAACAAATACCTGGATACAATTAGATATTGTGTGCTTGGAAACAGAATGAACATGCACACATACACATACATTCTGATTTAGGCTGGATATCCAAAGATCTGATTCCAGATTATCTTCTTATCCCATATTATCTGGTAGTGTGGACTCATATAATCCAGGTTTTTTTTGTGTCGTGTCAGGAGCAACTTGAGAAACTGCAAGTCGCTCCAGGTGTGAGAGAATTGGCCATCTGCAAGGATGTTGCCCGGTAGACGCCAGGATGTTTTGATGTTTTTATCATCCTTGTGGGAGGCTTCTCTCATGTCCCCACACAAGGAGCTGGAGCTGATAGAGGGAGCTCATCCACCTCTCCCCGGATTCGAACCTGCGACCTGTCGGTCTTCAGTCCTGTTGGCACAGGGGTTTAACACACTGCACCACCAGGGCTTCATTATATAATCCAGGTCAAAGGAAATAACCTGGGATCAGATCCTGGGATATAGGGCAGTGTCAGGCCTGTAGCCAGGATTTCGATTGGAGGGGGCTGAGTTTGTTTCGGGGGGGGGGGGGGGGGGGGGCTGAGTCTGAGTGAAAGAGGGTCGACCCTAGCAAACCTTTTGTATCGTTACCCCAATACCCCCATGCATATGGGATATATTGAGGATAGTGATCAGATCATGATATGAATAAACATAGCAGTTTAAATAATGCACCAGTAAGGCCTTTTCGCGAACCACCATGAGAATTTCGGGGGGGCTGAAGCCCCTCAAGCCCCCCCCCCCCCCCCCCCCCCCCCCCCCCCCCGCTACATGCCTGGGCAGTGTAGATCCAACCTTACATGAACATCACAAATGAAAATGGGTGCTAAGCTACAGAACTAATTTTTGGGGTAATTTAAAAGCTGAGATTCCTTGGGGTGGTGGGAGTTATGGATTCCTGTGTGTGCTTTGACTGAATTCCCTCTATCTGAATTCCTCTTCCAGATGATCGTACAAAAGACAATGTGATACTGCATGATGAATGTATCTGCTTTCTCTAACTCACCATGCTTTCCTCTCACTGAACAATTCTTATCAACACTGCTACACGCAAACAGTTACTGAATTAAAGTTACAAGCAATGGACAAACAGATCAAAACATTAAAAAAGACATCATCATGAGTTATTAAGATTACAGGTTGATGGCTTCCTACCTAGAACGATACTGTTAATTTAAGAAAAGAGCTATTCCTTAAATTAGTTGACCTAAAATAAAAACCAACCCTGTCCATCAGATAAGTGTATGGCTTGGCTTTTAACTCACCTCTGCTAGAACCTCTAACTAAGTGATTCCCAACTTTGGTCTTCCAGTGTTTTGGATTTCAAATCTCAGAAATCCCTTCCAGTTTATCCAATAGTAGTGAATTTTGGGAGCTAAAGTCAAAAATAACTGGGAGACGAAAGTATGAGGCACACTGCCAACCAATAACATTTTAGTTGCATTTGACTCTACTGGCACATGCCTAATAATGAGTGTAGATATAGGGCAAGATCTAGATGAGTTCTTATGCTGAAGAAGGAAGCCCATCAGTGAATCCCATGACTTCTCCACACTGGCCATTGGAATCACCACACATCGTGGCAAATCCAGCGACCATTGTTGGGGTGTGTGGGGAACCCGTCACCCGATGCCCCACATCGCCCGGCTTACGTGATTCCGGGGGGGGGGTCCAGGGAC